GCGCGTATCTACGCTCCCGACATTCTGGAACGTTGGCCCGTTCTGGGTGCACCCGAATACTGCGGGAAGCCAATCGTGCTGGTCTTGACGATACATGATTTTGCAGCTCGTGAAGTCGCCAGTGGGCATATAGAAATCTGCGTGCCACTTGCGGTCACTTGCGGACCACCCGTTCGCAGGTGACCGCAAGTGTCTCGCAGATAATCAAAAAGGATCGCAGGTATCGCAGGTGTCACGCAGATAGATAGTCTACTACAACATAGTACTTAGTAAATTTAAACTAAAGAAATGTAATCTTCACTTGAGAACTTAAAATGTGGCCACTGCTATGCGATACGAGTCTGGAATACAGTGTTCAATTTTCTACACAAGAGTTTTAGTTCTTATTTACTCATGCCTACTCGCAAGTTGACCGCAGGTGGCTCGCAAACATCCATTTTGTGCGCAGATTCTCGCAAGTGTGTCTCGCATTGGTCTCGCAGGTGTATCGCAAGTGATGCGCAAGTTGCACGCAAGTGTACGCAAGTCTCGCAATGGATACTAACTCTCGCAAGTGTATCTTAAATGTGTCGCAGGTGTGTCGCAGATGTATCTCAAGTGTACCGCAAGCTGAATGCAAGTGTATTGCAGGTGGAATGCTGATTGGATGCAGGACATCTTGGTCATTTCGTAGAGCAATATATGTCGCCAGTATAATTTATGAATCCCATGAATGAAATGGTTCCAAAATTAGTGAATGTGAGGGAAATGTCATTGAAATACATTGTAAATGTGAGGGAAATGACAGTGAAATACATTATGAATGTCCCAAGAATTTCCTTCAAATCCGCTGAAACCGGTCTAATTGAGGAAATTGGGGGAAACACCGGAATCCTGGTTTTCTGGGGAAGTATAATGAGAGATTTTCGTCGATTTCCAAAGTTGGTTTTCGCTAATGTCCCTCGTTTGGTGTGGAATCAAGTTGGGATGGGAAGAAGAGAGCGAGTCTGGTGAGACTCCATCACTCGCCAATGGCAGACATTGGCTATTGAGTCCCGAAGTCTCTGGAAAAAATCGACCACAATCACGTCTGATAAAG